GTTTTTAAGGAAAACGTAGAGTATCCGAGTTCTGCCTAGCTGTCTGTTTTAGGGCAGTAATTCCTAATTTGCGAATTTTAGTTAACTTGTGAATTTCAGGCATCTTTCTGTTTTATGAAGGTGACTTGGATTTGGGAGGGCTCTTGACTGTGAATTCGGAAAGGTTACAGCTGAAGCAGAGTCTAAACCCGGTGCTGCTGGAGTGACAGAGCTGTCTAGCTGAGCAAATCCTTGCCCAAACCAAGCACCCAGGAAAGAGAAGGATGCTTGCTTTCCGCAGTCTTCCAGACGCCATCTCCTCTTCTGCCTTCCCTCGCCTTAGGCTCCTTGGAGTCCTCCCGTTTCCCTGTCCTTCTCTCCCACCGAGGGAGCTGGAGCAGCCAGACGCCGCAGAACAGGTTTGAAACCAGTCGGCGAATGTTATGCAGAATTATGGGAGGAGGAGAAGCATTTCTAGCGCTTGTTCTTCTCACAGTGGGGTGAATTAGAGCCTCGCTGTGTTGACCCCTGGAGCTCACCTCGCAGGAAGAAATGAGGCATTTTACAGGTTTATGTCATTGGACAGTAAACTGGAGAAATGACCCTGGGAGTCAGGAAAGCTGCTTTGTCTTCCCGTGTAGTCGTCTTCATCTGAAATCCCTACGGGTGGTTTGTTCTGTGTGTAAGAGAATATAGTCTGGAGTCCTTTAGACAGTCGTACTAAACGTTGCAGTACAGATTAGGTTAACTTAACTTAGGTTAAGTTTTAAAACCTCTGTAAAAGCAACGAAGGATCCAAGTTTGAAACCAGTGAGCCAACTGTAAAGTGTTTGATCAGTCTGGAGTGTGAAATGGCCAAATACTGGGGACGGCTGCACCGAAGGGGACCTCCAGTCTTGGCAGGGAACAGTCCAGGAGACAAGCTTGGGTGAGCTGCTTATCAGATCATGACAGCCCATTAGCAAAAGGAGGGAAAGGTCTCCCAAAGAAGGTGGAAAAAAATCACAGTGTGCGTTAGTTTCACCTATTTCTCTTACATTTGCTGTTTGTGAACGTGTAAACCTTCTGTATTTTGCATTTTTGATGTCTGTTCTATTTACTGTTAAATTATTTCATGTCGAAGTCTACCATTTGATTTTTTGTAGCCCTGAAACTAAGGGTGTTGTTTGTTACCCTGGTACAGTTTCGTAGATCTGGATAAAACAGAAGGCCCCGTAACCTCCTGACCTGTCGTATAACTTACAGCTGCAGTTGATTCGGAGATGTGTGAGAAGGGGATAGAGTTCAGGTTTAGAAATCTGATTTAAATGCTTGATTTAAAAAAAAAAACCCAACCCTGTTTTTCCAGCTAGAAAATAGTGGCCTACAAATACAAAATGCAGTCATTTAGGCTAGTTACTGACGTTTATGGAGATCATTTTGCACAGTGCTGTAGGTGGTTGGATCTGATTCAGTGTAACAAGCTAATAAAATTACACTCGGCTCCCAGACCAAAGCTTGTCTCCTACAGACTCCGCGTGTGAAGGCAGCGGATGCTCTCATAGGAACTGCACTCCTCATCCCGACCCACTCAGGCTTGGACCTAAAAATTCCCTCTGGCGTCGCCCCTGGGTCTGGTGATTGTTAGTCACAGCTAGCACGCCCTAGAATGGTAGGAAAGGAAACCAAGCACCCTGCTTCAAAGGTGTTTTGCTTGAAGCAAGTCGTTTGCCTTTGTTTTCCTCTGGAATTAGAACTTTTAAAGATGAGTAAAACATTGCAGGATAACCTACCTCTGTCTGTAGTTTGGCTGCTGAAAACCAACCAAAAATTCCTTAATCAACATCCGCCTTGTCTTTAGCACTGTAGGAAAGCAAATACGTTTTCACAGTCAAGGAGCAAGGAATAAATGAGCTGTTAGATTTATGTTTGTGCAGTATTTCAACATTTCCAGGTTTACTGGAGCATCAAAATCTTTCCAGTGAGCTGTAACGAACAGAGCTATGAGAGTGAGGAGTGTGTCGTATCATGTCGGTGTGGCTGGGCAGAGCAAAGCTGAACTGAATGAAACGACGTCTATAGCAATTGGATGCTTATGCTTACAGGAATTAACCTCTTGAAAATGTAATATTATTTACCTCCTAGAGAGTTCCCCAGATTGAATGGACTTTAGAAATTAGAAAAAGGAAGAAGAGTCAAAAGAGAAAAAAACCCCACAATATTTTCTAAGTATCTGCAACTATCTAATATCAGCTGGCCAGCAATACGTACCTGGGCTTGAGGGTACGCTATTTTGCTGCAGACTGTAAAATTAGAAATGGACTACAGTAGAGGCTCTTACCTATTTTCTAGCTGTATATATTTCTATAATAGTAAAATTGGCTTATGAGGTATGCAGTTATATTCTGCATATGAGACAGTGTGGGATGGGAGACCCAAAAGATAGGATTTTTGAAGCTTGTGTATGAATCTTGATGTGTTTAAGAGCGTTAATGGATATTTTCGGATTGTAAAGAATGTTGCCTCTGCAAGTGGTGGTGAAACATCAACTGTATCTTTATAAGAAACAGTGGAGTTTTCAAAGCAGTTTTAAATGGAGAGCAGCTCACTTTCCTATGGGTGAAGCATAACATCCTGAAGTAAACTAATCAGCAGAAAGTGGTGGTAATATTCACAGTAATTCCCTGGCTTGTTGATATTTAACCTTTTAGAGGCGTAAGGTTGCTCTCCTGGAGATACATGTATTACTTGCAGGCAGTCAGATTTAAGGTCTGTTAGGTCCAACAGCTGAACCTAAACCAGAATACCCTTTCATTATCTTTCCCTGTTGAAGCACTGCAGGCAAATATATTTCTCCCTGAGGATGTCTCAAACAGCACGATCTTGTTATGGTGAACATGCTGTCAGCTTTTGATAGGGATTCATTGGCTAATTCCCTGCGTTTTCAATCGAATCTGATCACCCTCTCCTATTGATTCACCGTATTTTTAGAAATTTGTTTATCAAATAGCTGCTACCTGTGCCTGATTGCTTTTAAATGGACACCCGCTGACCTGCTGCTCTCATCTGCAGAACCTGCGCTCTGCTTTTCGAAATGCCCTCATCTTTACAAAGGCTTTGGAGTTAATGTGCTGTGCAGCGAGCAAAGTAGTCTTTCTTTCATCCAGCTCCTCTCAGTGGACAAGTGCATGGACAGTAAATACTGTCCCTTCATCTACTGGGAAGGGGTGACCCTGACAGCTGGAATATTACCATGTCAAAGCCCAGTTGGTAATATGAACAGAGAAAGGCAAGAAGATGGTGCTTTGATCTTCACTGTAATCAGGCCACGTGTACTGCCAGCAGCATAATTGGTTTTATTTAGCAAGCTCATCTGGAGAGTATTACAGGACTCAACACAAAGCAGCTACAAAACCCTTGTAATTTTATCAAGCACATTAGACTAGTGATGGCAAGAGCCGTATTTCCAGCAGTATGTGCCACAGGCACATATGAATTAAAAAAGTCCACCTTTCCCTAAAACGATCCCACATTTGAAGTCTTTCTCGATATAGTCAGAACTTTTCTCTCCGGATTACTCAAGAACTATGCGACTTAATAGCTAGAGAATGGTTCCAAATGATGAACAAATGCTTTGTTTAAAATCCAGTAGCTTTTTTGCCTTTTTTTTTTTTTTTTTTTTTCCTTCTACGTAGAAGCTTCTCCGGTGCACTTCTCTGCTTGGACTTCACCAGAGCATAGAACGATTTTGTCTTTACAGAAATCTGTGTTGTAATCTTCATAGTAATTGTGAACATTAATCCTCACTGGGGAGATGGAGTGATGGGGAAGTATAGGTACAGCAATAAGCTGGAATAGGAAACAAGAGGGAGAAAGGGATTAGAGTGTAGATTGAGAAGCTATAGGGAAGGGTAAGGCTAGGCTAAGGGGAATGGGGATGTGGCAAGGGACCTGCCAGCTCTTCTGGCAAGGACTGGGAGCAAGTGAGGAAAATGAGGCTCCTATGCTTCTCCCTGGTCCTCCCAGCATCAGGGGGAAGCCTTGTCTCTGCACGGGCAAGTGGCGGCGTGCCTGTCGTCGCGCACACGGCTGTGACTACGGTTAGACATCCTTCCTGCAAGTCCCTGGCCTCCAGGCGTTGGTACCGGTGAGAAAAAGCGATGGGGACGCCTGTCAAGAACAGGGCAGTTCACAGTGTCTTCAGCCACTGGAAGCATCTCTATCCCCGCTAGGTTTGGGGTTTTTTTTCCATTTAGCAGAGGACGTCCCGTTGAGGTGGATGTCATCCTCAAATAGATTTCCTGCATTCTTAAAGCCGTTTCCGTGCTGTGGGTAGATGACTTACTGTACTGCTTAAAGACTTAGTATGGTCAGTTATTTTAATCTGCTAATAAAAGTATTTGTATAAATGTGAATTGATGCTCTTCTCCCAAAGGCCCACTGGCATTTAAAAGCTAGCGCTTCTGTATTTCAGTAGTGCTGCTAATGCTAAGCATGAAAAAATCATGGGTCAAACCGTGTAAAATTATGACTAGCTTTAAAGCTGAAATTTTAGAACAGTGTATATATCATGCTTTATTTAATGTAATATCCTCGGTCACTGAGGTCTGTCCTTTGTCATCACAGTCATCTGTGTTTCATAATCTGGTGATTTCTTTAGTAAAACTAGTCAAGCTCCCTTTCCAAAGTAGTTGGTTTCTTCTGCTTCTTACAGCCTCTTCTAGAAACATATGCTGCTTTGTTTGTGACCTCAAATAGTGCAATACCAGAACTGTTAGTGATTATGATTACTAACTAGGTATTCATATTTCTAGCCTCGTGCCACACTGCATCCTTGCTCTCCCTAGCCCTGTTGTATATAAGTCTTTATTCCCTTCACTAAGGTGTCTAATCTTGCTGGAGGAGGGGCTGGGGCCCTCTTCTCACCACTGCAGAGTGGTGCTGCTCCTCCTGTTCCCCAGGGAAGCGGCAGAATAGGAAGCAAAGCTGCTGGTTGCACAAGGTAAGGGAGGACAGACGGGTGGGAGAGGATGCAAAGGGGGATGCGCCGCGGAGAGGTCCCGCAGGGAGGGGAGAGCTGCCGGGGGAAGAAACGGGAGAGGGGAGGGATCCCCGCTCCCACGCTCAGCCTGCCCCAGACCTCACTGACGCCACGTCCAGACGTCGCGCCAGGGCTGGCGATGCCTTCGCTAAGATCTCCCAGATTTCCGGCGTCAGGCAGAGGAATGCTCTTCTCCGGCCGTGGCCCCGGCGTTAACCATGTTGCTTTGTTTACTCTAGATACACTTCATACTGCTGTTCAGTCGGCAGGGGAAATTAAGGCTGCAGAAATGGTATACGACGCTACCTGATAAAGAGAAGAAAAAGATCATTCGAGAAATTGTTCAGATTATTTTGTCTCGCAATCAAAAAACAAGTAGTTTTGTTGACTGGAAAGACCTCAAGCTTGTTTACAAAAGGTGTGAGTAATTTTATGAGAACACATAATTAGTATTCATATAAACAACACGTGCTAGAAGAGGAAAAATAAACGCTCACTGTAAGAAAAACAGCGAACAAAACCCTAAGTGCTAGACGAAGCTAGTAGGAGCCTGCCATCGGCAACCTAACTGCGTACAACAGCACAGTGTCCCTGGATAAATCAGCAGGGTGAACTGTGGGGTGAAAAATACTTGTACAGTCTGTCAAATGAGAAAAATGGGAGTAACCTAATAAGTATTAGTGGTTGAAATTCTGTTAGAAGGCTTTAGGCTTCACTGCTCCTTCCAGTTCCCCAAGGTAGCCTGCTGAGACGTGTGCTGGGCTTTATCAGGCTCTTTGGGAGGTTGCAGGAACTGTTCTGAGGCACTTCCAACATTTTGTCAAATTTTGTCTTTGAAATACTAGTTGCTCTGGAAAGCGTTAATTCCCGTTTCCTTTTCCAAACAAATCACTGGTCCCCAGTTACACGATGCTTAGCGTCAACTGCCTGTTAATTCTTGTAAAGTTGTAGCAAACAAAAGTAGCCTTAAGGTATAGCACACTGTACAAATTAAGCGGCGTCTCCCATTTAGCAAAAACTTGAGTTCCATGCTGTGAAGTGACAGATGCAAACGTCTGACCAGATGCTGTGACAAGTTGGGCCTCCAGCCACAGCACCAGAGAGTTGAGGTAGATCGTTACTCCCATCTTGGGTTGATTTAAACGTAAAGTTTTGCTGCGAGTTAGATACGAAGATTGTTTGGTCTGAGCAGTTTCACGCTTTCTGGCCCTGTGTAAAACACTGTCAGTCACTTGATAGCCAGCAGGCTTGCTGAGATGTAACTCCTTCCACCTTTATTTTTGCCTTTGTTTTTATTTTTTTAATACAGAGCAGTAACTCGTTCTACAGTTTAATTAACCCCGCTTGCTGTACTGCTATTGCAGCAGGTGAGGGAAACCTTAAAGTAGTACTGTTTGTTTTATTAAGACCAGTGTTGGAGGTATCCCGCTTTGCCAAGGGTGGAGTTTGTCTTTCTAAGTAAATTAATAATTTGTTTAAATTATCTGGTCTTTTTAAGTGTTCTCTGGGACACTGTAAGAATGAAAGAAAATGGTTATTTTAGAGACCAGATGGACATTAACTGTCATTTGCATAACTTCTAAGAGATGAGCAGAGCACTGCGGATCCAGCTGTTCACTCTCTCATTTTTGCCTTTGTTTCCCTAGGTATGCTAGTTTGTATTTCTGTTGTGCAATAGAAGACCAGGATAATGAGCTCCTGACACTAGAGGTCGTTCATCGATACGTAGAGCTTCTGGACAGATATTTTGGAAACGTAGGTTTCGCTTTCTCCCATGAACCGCGTTCCTGGCTGTCTGATAAACAGTTATCTGAAGCTGGTTTGCTTCGTGTTTCCGTCTGCACTACTTGCTCCGTAGACTCTCTCAATCCAGAGTGAAATTCATTAGTGGAATGTTTTACAAAATAGTGCTGAAATTCTCATAAGATGGTTTTTCCATCCTTTCTCCCCCCAGAAGAAATTAATCTTGATGGTTTGTACGTCTGTCTTGGAATAGAATTTGAGGGGAAAGCTTGAGGAAAATTACTTAAAAACCCCTGGGTGACAGTACTTTAATTCTCTCTCCTGACATCTTCAGATATACTGGGTTTGTTTGTTTCATAATACTGTGTAATAATTAAGGACATATAAAGAGGAAAAAGATAAATTGTTGGTTTTTTTTTAAAGAAAAGACATGAGTAAGTCTTTCAGTAAGTCTTTAAAGACTACAAGAGACCCATCTTTTCTATGAATATTTTTGAAATTGTTCCCACTACCCTAATTCATCTCTTCCTTAAATCACTGTGCCATGACTCACGTTGGTACCGCCTCAGAACAAAAAAAGCGGTTGGTGACTGTAAGGTCACTAGGACAGGGAATTTGTCTTGCTCTGTGACACTGTGCGTGAACGTATGTAACCCATATTACAAGTGCTATATAGGACCTATTATAAGGTTAGTAGGCTAGGAAGTCAGCTTTGTTCTCTGAAAACCAGTGTGAATCTAGTGTATTATATAAAATATAGTAAGTGGAATATCTTTGCTGTAAGTCTAGGCTATATATGTGAAGAGAATATGTGCAGAAGCTGCAATATTACGTAATACGCAGTATCTTTCTTCACCCTGCTGCCTGCCACAAGAGTGCATATGGTGAATACGTTTGATCATCTTAACAACTTTTGGCCCAGTAGTGCTTATAACGCTGTAAAAGTGATTTAAATGTGGGGTGTCCTTTTGTTCTGGCAGGTGTGCGAGCTGGATATTATCTTTAATTTTGAAAAAGCTTATTTTATTCTTGATGAGTTTATAATTGGTGGAGAAGTACAAGAAACTTCCAAGAGGTCTGCAGTGAAAGCCATCGAAGACTCTGACATGTTGCAGGAGGTAAGGCAGAGGAAGACGAAAGGCAAACACCTCACCTTCCTTCATCTTCCTTGTTTGACAGGAGCTTAAAATACAGCTAAGCACTTCTGGTACTTAATTATCCCAACGTGTCTTACGTTCGCTTTCAGTAGGTACGACAGTGCAGTTAAGGGAGCAGTTCCGTAAGCTTTCAATTCAACCCTCTTGCATCTTGCGGAATCATCTCTTTATATATTGCTGTTGCTCTCTTGCAGTTTAACTGCTAGAGTTTCTCGGACACTATAGTAAGAAATAGTTTAAGACATATCTAAGAGACTTATATAATATAAGCACATAATCTAAGATTATATTTTATGTATATATAAATACAGAAAAATCTATTCTGTTTCACTAATACACTGGAAACGGATGACCTACTATTAACATTTAAAATTGGAAAGAGTATGTGCTGGCAAACTCCACTTTCATTCATAAACGCCTGCGGAGTTTTTCTGCAGGGCACAGGTACGTAACCTTTATTCAGAACCCTGCAGGAATTCTCTTCTGTAACTCGTACCGTTGAGCCAGGAATGGCGAAAGCAGTTGAATGTGATGGATTTACTTCATTTTTTCCCTAGGTAGTGAAGGATCCATCGTAATGCTGAAGGAAACAGCACGCTGGTAGAACTAGCTAGGGACACGCGATGCGAGCCGAAGGGTTTTTCACTGTGGTCTGGCATTTGCACGTGAAACTAAACCAGCTATGTACAAAGGCCAGCTAGAGGTTGCGGTTTAGCCGCAACCGTGGTACGTCATGATTTGAAGATCAGATTCTAAACGCTGTTAAAGGTTTTTAAAGCAGAATTATTTCTACATTTTAATTAATCTGATCGAATTCCATGCGAAACTGCAACTGTCTTCAAAGAGGACAAGAGGGTTTGTTTGAATATTTTGAATATATAACTGTCTTCAAAGAGGACAAGAGGGTTTGTTTGAATATTATGGTACCGCTCCATAATGCATCAGTTGTTTCTTTCTTTTTTTTTTTCCCCAGACAGTGGAAGAGTACATGAACAAGCCTGCATTTTAATGTTAAAACTACCTGGAGAGAGAACTGCTGTATGCACCTGTAAAATGCACTTCCTGAAATTGCTTCCCAACGTGCCAGATCCTCAGAGAAATACCAAAAGCCAATAACTAAAGGGGTTTGTTTGTATAATGATGAAGATGAAGGTCAGCTAATGTAGCACAGGGTTTAACAATTCTGTACTTGCATTACTCTGCGTATGAGTTTCTCAGAGTTATTACCCTTGATCTAGTTTCTCTTCTCCTTGCTGGACTAAACACTTGTTTTGTACCATGTCTTTTAGCTATGGGGTTTGTCATCATAAAAGGTTACTCTGACAGTACTTTGAAGAGGTATTTTTAATAGTTTTGGTTCACTGCTGACCGTATGACTCTACTTTTGTACAAATGTCCATTATTTTGAATGTAATGATTATTCTGCTCTAATAATAATTCTTTTTCTAAAAGCCAAATTGTTGTGGGCCCTGATTTCACGAGCTTGTTTTGAAAAGATTAACCCATCTAGTATAAGAAGAAATAATGCTCCTCTTTGGACCAGCCCCTTTCTTTCACTGTCTTCCTTCTATTTTCTGCTCTAGTCTGCTAATAAGACTGCTCCAGCTGCTACTAGAGCGCACTCCACACCTCCATTTAATCTGGAAGACTGTTCTGACTCAAGGTAGGCTTCTCCCAGGTTTGATGAATCCTTTCTGCTGCTGCGTGCAGACGGCCTGTTTCTGTCTTTCTCCTCATTTTCCTATCCCCTTCCTAGATCCCCTGGACCTGGACAAAGGCTACAACCTTTGGAAGCGTGCAGCTTGAAAGCAGGAGATATCCTGAAGAGAAGAAATTAGTCTTTGGGATTTTAGGGTGAAGATCATCTCGTGTATCTCTTGGTATCCGCCAATAACCATCTTTCCCAGTAGAGTTTTCCAGTCCCAAATTCTCACGCCTATTGGGAGGATCAGCTTTCTAGTAGTTGAACGTGGCCCATTTTTGTGAAGGTTGGACAATCTGGTCAACCTTTTATAACTTTGCAAGCTGCACAAAGGGAAAAAGGGTAAAACAGTAGAGAGGAGAAGAATCAGCTGGGCTGTGCATCTTACTGTGTGTTACAAAACACGGCAGCTGTGTGTGGGGAGCCAGGTGTCTTAACTTGCCTGTTTTTCTGTCGGTGCAGTTTGGACTCTCGAAACTGATTGAACTGGCTTCCTTAGAGAGATTATTTCCTCCTTGAACAGAATTCAAAGCTCAGAGAAATTCTATTTATCTTAGCCCATGACTCATAGCTAGATGTTTTGTCTCCGTCAAATCATGAGATTATCCTATACAAAAACTAGGTAAGTTATCAGACGAATATGCCGGAATGATCCGAGCATTGATTCGCATTTCCCTTCAACGTATATTTTCTTTTGACTTCTGGGCTGTACAATCAATATTCTCCTTCAGGGATTTTTCTAATCTTTAAATGTCCTGCATGCTGCTTCTAATTTTGTCATTGCTCCTTCCTTCCCAGTCTGTTTGTATCTGCCTGGGGAGGGGTTTGGGGGCTTTTTTTTGGAGGGTGGGAGCACTTTGACACAACATGACAACTTTGCTAATTGTCAGCCCGCTTTTCTGCCTGTGTTATCTAGTCTGTTAGTAAAACTGTGACAAGCTGGTTCATAGCGTCATGCTGCTCTTTTTATAATTACTTTATCCATCTGTTGTCTCTGTATTGATGTCAAAGGCATACTTTCAGCATTGAAAAAATAGTGAAATTGCTGAAGGGCTTTTAATAGCTCTGAAGACATTCAATTTAATAGTAAATTAATGAAATTGTATGAGTTGTATATTATTTTCTCATGGTTTGAAATGAAGTTTTTTTAAAGTAGGGGGCTTAATTGATTAAGAAGCCACTTCAGAATGTGCAAAGAGGCTCTTTCCGCTCTTTACTTTTATAAGTGACTTCTATTCAGTGCAATCATCAGTAGTTTCATTTGCTTTTACTCTTTTTTGGAGCCCTGCTGTGGTTCTCTGACTCTTGTAACTGTCACGTTGCTTGAGTTCTGGAGTATATCAAAATAGGAGTTCCACAAAGAAGATGTCTTGGTATGAATAAGGATATCATAAGCCTGTCTTTTCAGTCATTCTAAGAAGAGGCGTAGGACTTCTTTCTCTCTCATTTCAAATGAAGAAGAATTCCTTACGGAAAAAAAATAATACATTAGCTAGGGGTACTTACATCAATATAGCATCTGAAATAAATAGCATTGCCAAACTGATGTATCCAGTGCCAACCTGAGGAGTGTGAAGGAACTGCTGTGGGTTTCCTTGCCCTAGTGCAAAAGGTCATTGGAATACGGTGAGCCTGTTGTGCCAACGGTCTTTGTGCTACGAAGTTGGATGGAAGGTGTGTGTTAAGCACTCTCAAGAACTGCTAAATTATATTTGCGCTCTAAGAAACATCTACAGATTCCTGTTGCTTTTGCCTGTAGATGGGCTACACAAAGTAGGCAGGTGAGCGATACTTAACGTGACTTCTGCAAGTGTCAGTCTGTATGTATCCCATACTTAAGAACAGATTGGTTTGAAACTTAAAACTTGTATTTATACTTTTTACAACCTTCAGTGAGAAAGGGGTCACTCACCTAAGTGGTGTTACAGCGGCGTTCAGCTCAACCCAACTCTTTCTCCAAAGGGAAAAAGCCCAAATGAAACCCAGTTACTGCCAGGTTACCTGCAGGTCACTGTGTCAGAATGCCTGTGCCTCCGTCTTTGTGGAACTCCGCTGCCATCAGCAGGACTCTACACAGATTAGTACACTGTGGAGTATAGCTCATCAGAAGATTTATGTCTCTCTTGGTATCTTAGTTCTTTGATTTTTCTTAAAGCAGGAGATATACGTGTCTTTGTGTTCACAAATCTCTCTGAAGCATTGCCCATTTCATCTGTGTTTGCTGTTGATGCTTCTCTTTCCAGCCTGCCTGACTATTCTAGGAAATGCTTAATGTAAAGTCTTCTGAGATTACTTTATGAAATTATTATCGAAAAAAGTATTAGAAAGCAGGTTCCTTAACAGTTTTCCCAATCTCACTAACGTCCTTTGCGGTTATCTAAACGCTCACCTTGCTGACAAGCTTCAAGCACATATGTCCTAGTTTGCAAAATTGCATTTACTGAAATAACCATTAATCATGGTCGCGTTGCTAGCCTAGATTCCCTTCCTTGCTTTCGCCAGCTGCATCTAACAAAAAGCTGCTTGATTTTCTTATTAGCATCCCTGCCTGGAGGATTCTTACTGTGATCTTACTGCTTACCAGTTGTGGCAGGCCTGGTTCTCTGTCGTGCAACTATTTGCAACTCAGGAGTTGTGACATCTTTGAACATATCATGGCAATTGAAAAGAGAGAGACAGACGTTAGACTGGGATAAAAATAAGTGTAATAATGTCAAAAGTATGACAAGTCGTCATGAGTGAGAGGCAAGAGTGGCGGGATCTCACAGGATTCATGAATTCTGTTTCTTTTTTCATTATGCATTTCTGAGTGTTGTGGCTCATTAAAAGGTGTCAACTCTTACAAATAACTGTAGGAAAATTGATGTTTAGGTTACCTCCTGTCAGCCTTTGTTTAACAAAAAGCCACTGAAAGTGAATCTTCAACACCTCCCCCTAACTGCTCCTACAAAAAAACCCCCTGTGCTTTCAGAAACCCAGCTGGGAAACTTACTGCAAAGTTCAGGTATGGTTCTGTGTCTGAATTTATGTTGGACAGCGTAATGCTGTACTTACGAAAGGATGAATTACTGTTTTTTTCATTTATTTTACAATCCTGAAAGATAACTCTTTTTTTTTTTTATCCTCTGCTTAGCACTGTGGAGTGCTCTGTTAGCGTTGGAGTAATACAGCATGCAGTAACGGTACGTTAGGGGTCAGGAGGGATTGGTTTATAAGGAAAGATTAGAAGAGTTTTAACAGCGTGAGTGAGGCTTTCAGAGATACCCAGAGACGTTCAGTCAACAGTCCCCTCAAAATAACAAGGCTCAATACAGTTCAGAGAGAGAGAGAGAACTCCTATCCGTGCCTGTCCGTGATGTTCTACTCCACTGAAAAGGCGTCTGAAAATATTTCTGTTAGCGCAGCTCCTGCGTGAGGGGGACGTTGCTCCCACCCTGCATGAAATGACTAAACCCGAAGGTCTCAGTTCTGCAGTTAATCCCTATGGGGGGCTTTTCATTAACTTTATCGGATGCCTTTATGAGCCTGGGCGTCTGCATCATCATCTTACATCATTATATTTTTGGTTTCGGCGGCTGCCAAGAACTTTTGAGCTCAGACCAGGTAAAAGCGTCCTTCGGGGAAATTTGACGACATTCCTACCGAATTCAATAGCGTGCGTGTTCCTTAGCAAGATCATAGTACAAATAAAATATAGCTGTTGATTTATTAAACGTCTATTGGGATTTTTCAGGGATTTTTTTTCATGAAGATAGCTGGTCTAGGTTGAAGTAGAGTTGTGAAAGCTTAGCGTTCATAGCAGAAATAATGGGCTGTGCTGCAAGAGACTTAATGTTTGCTGTCATGGAAACCTGTTGCCTTGGAACATGACTAATGAGACCCAGGCTAAGGGAAAGGAAGAAGCTATTCTTGAAATTATTGTTCAGCGAACCCTAAGGAAGACCAGCAATATACATTATCGTAATTTATAGTTTTTTCATGTCCTGTTGTCTAGTCCGCTTAACCTTGACTTTTTATTCACTTACTTAACAGCTTTTGTAACCACACGTTTTCATACAGAGAATGCTATAGAATTGCTCAAAGCTAATCCTTTGGCCATCTAGAAAGAAATAGCATCTTATTTGCATTCCTCTTTCGCGGTACACTACAAAATTTGTCCAACTTTTGCGGAAAGGACACACTGCAAACAAACTTGTGGCTGGTCTGGAATGCCCCAGTGAGCCGGGGGATAGTTAGGAGTTCAGCTGAGGATTTTTGCCTTTGGTTGTAGTCGTACGTTTTAAAGACGGTCCAGGTATATGAGGTAGGGAACATTTCTGCGTACACACCCATATGGAAAAATCCGGTTACCCCTGTGTATCAGTGTGGTAAGATTGCTGCTCTCTAATGCTGAAAGGAAACTTGGTGGGGGGAACATATAGACGGTATCTCAAAGTTTACTTTACCCTTCCATCATCTCCTTTTAAAAGTCCCGCTGAGAATTCTCCTCTCTTCTGGAGCTTCCTGCTCCAAACCCAATACGTATCATTGCACACCAGATTCTGCAGTGGAGAATAGAGTGCTGATGTTTTTTTCCCCGCAAAGGTGAATTTTGTGTGTCTGTTGTGAAAAAACAGTGCTGAACGTAGAATCCCTAGTTACACAGGGTGACAAATTCATTACGGCTTGCTGTGGATTTCAGCTGCTCTCCGGACCAGGATCTTGCATGAATAAATTGTCAGCAGCTGCTGACAGTCTCCCTGCCGTGC